GCTCGTAATTGTTATACCCCCGTGGCCGAGACTGCCTAGGTACAGATCCTAGCCAGTACTTCGCAGAGTACTCTACGTCGACCCCCGGGTAAGCTGGAACTAAGAAATCTTAATACTTAAGAGGAGTGTGTTAAAACTATTAAACATTTCCAATAAACTTAAAAGACGTTTAAAATTTGTAATGGGATGGATTAAAATCGTACATTTTAAAAAAGAAAAAGAATAGTACCTGTATAAAGATTAAATAAAACATTACATACATAGAAAAGCAAAAAATTACTACTGATTTTCCGGAAAAAGATTGACTTATTTTCAAAGCGAATTAACCCTCCCCCAGAACTTCCGTGATAATTTGGATATGATGGTGTTTCGCCTCCCTCGTATATTTGAAGGAAGTCAACTAATATATACAATTTGTATTTATATATATATAGAGAGAGAGAGCGAGATAATATTTATTAATATAAATATATATCAACAGTATGTGTTTGTGATATAAGTTGATGATTTAGAAAACAGCAGCGAAAATACTTAAGATGACTTAAAGGAGGAGAAAAGCTTTCGGAAGCGGCCATTGTGTTCAACACAATTTTATTTCTTCATAGAGCAAGATTTAATACGCATAAATAGATTTACATAATCATCATTTATAAGCGTGCTATGCAGTCGTCAATTTCGTGCAGCTCAGAATTTCACAGTAATGGAAAATAGCTAGTAGATGCTAAGCTACACGTTGCCAGCAGGAAGGCGAAGTAGAAAAAAAGGGCTGCGCTATAATAGCAGTGATACCTGTAGATTTGATTCTTTGTTTAAATTCTGGATCTGCTATTGGATAGCAATGCAGAGCGATTACGTAAGCAAACATGAAACAGAAAGTCGCTGTCTAGGAAAGATATTATAAACAATTTAGAGCCGAAACGGGAGGTACATAAGTTAAAATGAGGGATTACGGGGATATTGCTAATTAATTTATAATTTTGAATTACCAAATTTTTTATCTTACATATGCATATTACAAAATGCAAAATGTATGTTGATATTTTCTGGTCATTAGTTTTTTTATATACATTATTAAGCAGGTGAGCTACAAAACTGTTAATTAAAAAAAAACTTTGACATTACTCGACTTCGTTTTAGTACTTTAACGTTGTTATTGGATATTGTTTTATCAATAAAGATGACGTAGTTGATAGAGAGTCTTTCTATTGCAAACGATCAGTATGGCAACTCAAAAACAGGATTCCCGTTTTTGATACTTAACCAGTGCCGAGCTACTCCGAACTGATCTTAAGAGTCTTCAGTGGAATATCGGATTACAAAAGCTTCTTACTACTCCGAAATTCTGCTCACGAACAAATTATCGGAACAAAAAATGCATTCAATGACGAACGATGTCTCAGTTACAAACACTTAAGTAGGCAACAATTGGTTTTCAAAGATGTTTTGAAGTAACTTCTGGTACAGAATTAACATTCAGACACTTCTAGAAATATCATTTTAATGTTTTTCCGTTGCTTTTAAGTTTCAACAAAACCTGGCAACAATTGACCAGGACCATAAATCCAGCCTGGTGGAATTTACCACCAAACTATATTGCAGGTAGATATTTCGAAGGCTTTGACACTGATGACAGGACCATTGACAGGCGCCAAGAAACAAATTATAAATAAAAGAAAATATTTCTGAAAAAGAGTTACCGGATGTATTTGTGGAAAGATTCGCCACATTCAAGCAATAGAATCTTCCCTTTCTCTATTTCCTCACTTTTTACTTAAGCCTGGCACTCTCTTTCATACGGGTACGGTAAAACTAAATTTGTTTACCTGAAATTATTCCCATTTGTTCTGTGTTATGAACCTCCACACAAAATACTGTTGCAAAGTTTAAATAAGTGGATACAGGATGAAACAAGGCCAGCACTTGTGCATCCCAATAGGCATATTACGTATCGCTGGGCCTTGCTAATAACTAAGCTTCCTCCCCGATCTGAATTTCTAGAACACATCTAGGTACCGTTCGACAGTCTTTCACTACTCTTCCCCTAAAACGAACCTCTCAAGAGAATTTCGATGAGTGAGTCCTTGCCGTACAGACGCTATACGCTTCATAGTGTCTGTGCTTCTTATATCCATGCCTTCTCCGGGATTCGAACCCGGGCCCTTTGGTACGATAGTCAGAGTCTTTAATCACTGTCCTGTCTGGATAGAAGTTTAAATAAGCAATCATTTGCAGTCCGGGAATAAAATAATCTAATTACACTAATTCCCAAAGAAAATATAGTTTCGGTTTCGTATGACGAGCGGTCTTCGAAGACGCATTACATTCATGAAATGACGCTTCACTGCATAAATATAAATATTTATAGCCATAGCAACTATTATAATGCTAGTTTAAGTATGAAGAATTGATTTTCAAAGATGAACAGCAAAGCGCACAGTTCAGTTAAAATTTTAAAATCATTCCTTTTTCCACCATTAATTGAAAAATACAGTTTTTAATAAAAATTCTAACTAAAAAATACCGCAGCATAAGAATATCTCAAAATTCTAAAATAGTAACAATTTCTTTAGAATTTTCAACAATTAGCCAAAACAAAAAATACTATTTTCGGTACGTATTCTTACGTACGGTACGTATTAGATAACTGAAAATTACAGGTATGATTAAAAATAACAATCCATATAAAGAGTCTTGACAGGAACGTAAATGAAATGTTTCGTACTGTTTCATAATTGGGTTTAATTGAAACGATTAGCATAAAATAAATATGATGACGAGCCACTTCTGTTCACATAATTTACCTGAATACGACACAGGATCATAAAAGTAAACAATAGTTTTACAATAATGCGGAAACTCCTTGCTAATTAATGCGAAATAGGTTATGGGAAATTAATTCTTCTCGCTTGAAATGCTGTCACCTGTTCTTACAGAAATTGTAAAAGTTTTAATAAAAAGAAAAGATTTATTTTCGTTTAGTGCCGTGATCCCCTGATCTGCGCACGATTTAGTTATTCGGTTACTTGGAATATGTCAGAACTTTTTAAGAGTTATCTGCCTCAGAGATGCCTTGGTGAAGAATATTTTAAGGGAAACTGTCTTGTATTCATCTTACGCAGAACAAAATGAAGTAAGTGGTACATCAAAATTTCACTATTAGTTTGTGAACATTTATTTAATTTACTTGACAATTATTTTAAATTTACTATCGCTCTTGCTTTCAACTCACACTTTCCTGCCATAATGCAAACTGATTAGCGGACGTGTATTCAAATACGATAGAAGGAAGTTAGTATTTAAAGGAAGGTTTTGGAATGTGAAAAATTGGAGAGTGTTCTGCCTGCCTGTAGGACACGTTGCTTACCATTGATTCTCTAGTGATTAGAATTTTGTGACGTTAAGCTATTCTTGCCATTAAGCTTGTTTACGCCAACTTTCGGGTCAGAGCTAGCTTGCGAGATAATTAACTTTGAAGCTGTTAGGCTAGATTTAACTTTTTTAATTTTTTAAGTTATTCATTACCTTTGGAGTTAAGTTTGAAGTGGTGGCTTTGTAAGCACAATTTGGTGTCGACAGTGAACTTTATTGGAGTTAATAAAAGGTTCTTTACACCGTTCTCCTGAATTTGTAGTAATTTAAGGATTTGGTGATTATTCACTAAATAGACTTCAACGTCGAATATATTTTATGATAGCCAAGCATAAAAGACGTTAAAAGTTGTACAGATTTAATCCCAATGAGCTAACTGTACAGCTTCGCTCCAATTTTGATGGGAAAATTTCTGAAGAATGGATACAAGACTATCCCATCCCTCTTTCTTTTTTTCTTTTTTCTTTTCTTTTCTTTTCTTTTTTTTTTTTTTTTTTTCTTTTTTTTTTTTTTTTTTTACAACAAGACTACTCGATAGGACTTTTGTCTCCTATGGAGTAACATGTATACGAGCCAGTTTCCCTTAAAAAGTCCTCCACGAAGGCATCCCCCCTTAGGCAGATAGCATTAGTGTGCTTTGCCATAATTAAATAAACCAAACCTATGGAGTAGTATTTTAAGTGCCCCCATGCTGAAAAGATATTACACACTTCAAAACATCCATACCGTTTTCAGGATTCGAACATGTGCCCTGCGATATGGCAGACAGCATTTGTGTTACACATGAAGGAAATCGTGATAACTCCTATGCAGCCAGCCAGGATTTGAAATCGGACTGAAATTCAGTCAGGATTTGAATCGGATCCAAGATCTGATATCGAGTTGAACTGCCAGTGTTTAGCAGTCTTACCGCTTAATCACTGGTTGGTATATGCATATCAGACGAGTTAAAATAACTGTAGTAAAGGTAAGAAAAAACCTGAGTTTTTAGTAATCAGAATGAAAAAAAAAAGTGCCAATACCCGAGCTTGTCTGTTAATATTAACTCCAGAAGGAAGAAATGTGATAGGATATTTTATTGATATATGATTGATCATCAAAAGTACTTAAAAGCTCCATTTCACATACTGGGCAATTGAAAAAAAATACAGCAATATGTAATTGATCGAATATATGCACATTTAGACTCTTTAAAATTTGGCTTTTTATCTGATAGTATTGTGTGCATTCGCATCATAGTCACGGAAAAAAAGCTCTGTCAAAAACTCATCAATCTATTACGCTTATATCAAAACCTACCAATTTTGAAATTTTAACATATGCGACGTAAATGTCACAGCACGATGCAAAAGTCACAGTGTACGCTTTTTAACAAGTAGATAATATCAGATTAAACACAATAGCTGAGGTAATTTAGCGATTTCCTTTCATATAATCGGACAAAGAAAACGAACAAATAAAGAACATGAAATTTGTCGTTAGCAATTTATAGAGTTGGCATTAAAAACCAGCCTTTCCTCGTACCAAAGCCCGCTTTGCTTTAAATGCACGATAAACAACGTTTCGAAGGTCAAAGTGGACCTTTTTCTTCCGAACTTCGTAATTCGCTTTCAAGCCTCCGGCAAGACTAGTCGAGGTTCGGCAAGGTTCTGATAAGAACTTCGGATTAGTGCAGATTCCTCGGACGTCAAGCGTGAATGGATTAATATCGTGTTTCACTTACGCTCTGTGTGTTTGTTTTGATTGCGACAGTTGCATGGGCACCAGGATTTACTTTTCCTGAGCATCCGTTACACGTGCTGTGAAGGTACGATTTTTGAACAATACAAAACGCTTGTAATAGAATTTGTTTCATCAAACGTGAAAATAAATAATGGAAATTTCCATGATTGGATTTTCAATGAAGTGCACCCAGTTTTTATACTGAAATATGCCACACTGAAAAAAAAAAAGTCCTGGAAGTTAACAGGTAAGCCAATTTGAAGATTTTATATCTATTTGTCTTGTTCTCTCTTTTAAAATATCTAAACATTTTGAAGAAAGTCTTTGTTGGGGTTTTGAATAATTTTGTTTTACTATTACTTTGACTAGTTTAAAATTGTTTTCACTTGTCTTAGGCGTTATATTCTGGTTCATAAATGTTGAAATATTTATGGACTCTATATTTACAATATAAATATTTATAAATTTAATAAATATTTCAAATTTATGGACTGGAAGTTCTATTTTATAAATTTACTTTAAATGCTATCTTATAAATTTATGTTATTTGGAAGTATAATCATATAAAGTTACGGTAAATGGAAGTACCATTTTATAAATTTACGTTAACAAGAAGTATAATGGTATAAATTTACGTTAAGTAGAAATATTGTCTTATACATTTACGTTAATTGGAAGGACTATCTTTTCTCTGGGGAAGATGTCCAATGCTAATCCAAAATAACGATAATCAGATATGGCAATCGGGCTAGCCGCAAGGAAATGTTCATGGCTTTCTTCATATGTAACACAAATATGAGACAGCTTCTGTTAGGAAATCCTCCACGAACGCATCCCTTCTCTTAAACAGAGAACCCTTGCGAGCTTTGCCAAAATCCGAATAACTTATATAATGAAATTATGAAGTAATTCATATAGTGATCAAATATTATGGAGATTGTCATGGATGACTGCCATGAAGGGCAACTCGAAAATGTTATATTAATGAACTGTTGTCTTCTTTGTCATTCAAAGGTACTGAATTATATAAATGTGTACAATTGCATATAATAACTATTCCCAATAAATGTGTTATTGTTTTCTGCATAAAGTGTTATCTGTTTTGGTACTTGAAGACACTAACTACTTAAATGCATGCAGTTATATTTGCGCAATAAATGTGTTAGCGTATTTTTTAAATGGCTGTGTTTTCCGCTTCACACTATAGCTTTCTGCGCAAAGAGAGATTAGAATTTCTTTTAAAAACGTACTGATACGAATACAATTTCCCCTTTTTAAAATTTTAATACATTTACACTCTTCTGAAACAATTTCGAAATAGTTTTAAATAATTTCAAAACAATTATTATAATTCCAAAACGATTTTTAATTTTCCCAAGCAATTTAAAAATATAAATATAAAAAGAAAGCAGAATCTATTACTCAAAATAGTGTTGTATCACTCGAAAGGAGGGAAGAAAAAAGGCATTTCATAACCACGGAACAAAAATGGAATTTTGTTGTATCACATTAATAGCTAGCGTATGAGTGGTGGCGAAATGGCTTATAATACACCGATAGTTTTTAAAAAATTAATAGTTAAGATGTATATAAAGTAAATAGAATACATTTTGTAAAATACTGCTGTGTGACAATAATTCGGAGGGGAGGGGTTGTCACTTCTGAATCACAGAACACAACTGGAGTTCCATTTACCGATAATATATGACTGCTAATAACTGATAAATTTTTGAAAAATTATTATGAAGAAAAAATCTAAGAATATGTTAAGAAATATAAAACAGGAGACGAATATATTTTGTAAAATACTGTTGTGTTAGAATATTAAAAGAAAAAGAAGACACTCGATAAATGCAGAACATACTTAGAATGTTATTGTATCATTTTAATTGGTAATAAATAGTTGAAAAAAATTACGAATTTTTTAATTTAATAGTTAAGAAATATAAAAGGGAATCACTATATATTTTGCAAAATACTGTTGCTCACACTAATGGAGAGAGGAAAAAAAAAAAAAAAAAAAGAGACTTAACAGATACTTAAATTTAAACTTGGATAAAATAGTATAAGATTATACGTTCAATAAATTAAACTATAAGCTGGCTAAATATTTTGTCGGTGCGTAAGTCTACGTCAGCTTGGGAGGGAATGCAAAAGCCAGAATAATCACTTATAGAGCTAGCTAGAAATTATAACAGCATGGCGCGAGTGCTAGAAACTATCTGTCTAAGAATCAAAACCCTCAGCTTAAATACTATCAAAACTAATTTGCATTCTGGTGAGGAATACGGTAAGAAGAAGTTATAATACAGATCAAATAATAACTAATTTATCATAATAACTGGTTAAATAAGATACAGCATGATTGATAATAAATAACAAACTTCTAAAAAACTTATAGTTAAGAAATATAAAACGGAAGCATTTCGGAAAATATTTTGTATCATACCGTTAGGGGAAAAGGGGATTTTATAATCACAGAACAGACTGAAAATTGTCGTATTACGTTAATTGGTAATACATTATTTTTAATACGCAAGCAGTATTGAAAACGATTAGTGGTTAAGAAATAAATATTATTTTGTCGCATTAAAAGGGAAAAATGGCACTGCGCAACCGCAGAATAAACATATATTGTTATATCACATTAATTGGAGAGAAACAAGAGCCTGCGTAACCGCAAAGTTTATACGCAGTATTTTACCTTCAGCATTATCTTGTTTATCACTTTTACCTTCACAAGTGCTAAGCAAGTCATTAACAATGAAAAAGGGATATAATAAATCTATAATTGTTTTGCCTGTTCTTCCCAACAGATTTTCGTTTTCTAATAAGTATGAATTTTTTATTTGTGTATTTTGCATTTAATCCATAAAAACAGGGCCCGATCTTGGATTTTTTCGAAATGGGGCAAAAACATTAAATTGCCACCCTCATCCATCCTAATTTGAGTTTCTCTAATAAGTTTTAATTTTTTAATAAGCATAGAAATAGGATAGTGTGTGAGGTAAAATGTAAACTCCATTTTTACTAAATTCTTTATGTTTGCGTTTTTTCTTGTTTTGTTTTGTTTTGTTAAAAATAGAAAAGTACATACTAAAAATGACATAATTAAAAACTCGCGCTACCTCTCTTAGGGAAGTCGTCTTCCGATTCAGGCACGAGTGCCTGTAATCTTCCACTTCTCCCCAACAATCGTTTCTCTAGGAGGTAGGTAAATTGGAAAAATCGTTTCTCTAGGAGCTTAGGGGGTAGCGGCCACCCCCTAAGCTTCTCATCATTCTATATTATGAAGAATACGAGTTGTCGCTTGAAGGAAAAGTTTAATGTTGGTAGTTCCCGCCTTGTTTTCCGCACTCCCGTTTTTTTCGTTCTTACCTGCCCTCTAACGCTATAAAAATATTTCAGATTTAGTAATGAAAATTAAAATTTTATTCTGCGAGCCTATTATTCTGAAAATAAGCCTATGACATCGTCATAGTTAATCTGATGTACGGTTTCACTTTCGATTGCCAGATCGCGTGACTTGATAAACGTTCCTCGCTCATCAATGAAAGCAGCTAGTTTTTAATAAGTTTAAATTTGATAACACTTTTAAGTCGCAGAATAATAGTGGGGCGTATTCTTTAAAAACGGCGAGTTCATGGCAGAAACTCAAATGTATTTAAATCTCGGTCATGTTTTCGTGCGGCCCACTAGTGGTTGAGAGCTTTCGTTCGCTGAACGTTCGTAGTTCGGGCCAGAGTTCGAATCTCGACGAACTGCTGCATAGGCGTTTGTTTTCATAGTTTTCCACACGTGTAACGTGTGTAAGAGCCAATTTCCATTAAAAAGACCTTCACGAAGTCATCCCTACCGTTAGGCAAATAGCCAGCTTTTAAGTGGTTTGCTGTAATTAATTAACCAAACTAAATGATATTTTTGTGATAGATCTGCTCAATTCTTTTGCAGTTCACAGTCGACATATTCAATGTCTCATTATTATTGAAAAATGCAAAATCTGAATTTAGAGTAATAGCGCTGTTAACCTTCGTTTTAATTTCTGATTAGATTCAGTCAAATACAGTTTTTATTGCCTTAGAAAATAGCTGAACAGATTGAAGTGTCCGTGATTAATTCTCGCATAATTCCTCAAATTGCTTTTTGGGCTTTAGAATTGGTTTATTTCTCAGAATATCGTTTTCGACTACTGTTTTAGCATCTTCTATCTAATATTCCATAGGATTTTCTCTAATGCTTTGCAAAGTTTTGGACAGACTTTCATGTAATGGAATGCGCAACAACAATAACAATATTTACTCAATTGATTTCTCAGAGAATATTAGGCCAAATGGTTAGGCTGATAGTAATTTCAAAATTTTTCACAGCATGTAGCAAATGTCCTGCCTCCTACTTTGATTTCGCTTTAAGAGAAATGTCTTCAATTTCTTTAAAAGATTTTTTTACTTGCGGTAAATTCATTACAAATACTTTTACAACCACATATTTTGCCTACCCTCTCGTCTATTTGCTTTCTAAGTTGGGTTTTGAACATTTTTTCATATTATCCCATCGAGTAGACAAAAAACAAAATAATTTCTGAATAATTCTAAATTCAGAATAATAATAGAATTCAGAATAATTCTGAATAATTCTAAATTCAAACTGCTTCCGAGCACGATGACACAAAATGCATACCGACAAGATTCAAAGAGTGAGCCAAACATGGCACTAATTCTCCCAGCTCATTCATTTCTCTAATCCTGGCTTATAAGTAACGGCTACATTAGACCCGCTATCGTAACAGTGACCACGACATTCTTCAAATGAAAACCATCAAAGTTTTTCCACAAAATCCGTTGAGAAATACTCGCGCTCTCTGATACTTAAATGCTGAATTATGTTTGCCAAGCTGAAAGAATAAATTCAAAAAATTTCCTTCGCTATGCTGAGGATATTTTGTGAACAGGCAGCTACGGGTTTCGTAAGAGCCACGGAAAGAAAGACAGTCTATTTTAGAAGTCAAACAACAAAAATTAGAGTTATATTTACAAATTTTTCAGGACTAGTTTCGATGGTTTAACTACCGAATCATCCTCCTCAGCTGCCAAAGTGCAAATGAATAAGTTTAGAATAAGTAAAGACAGTTAGTTAAAAGATGCAATGCAGAATCCACGGCCATGTGTAGAATATCTCTACAGTTTTCTTTCTCTATGTGAATTAATCACTCAATGCTGTGATCGATTTCCTATCATGATTTCATTTATT